TAGTTTTAAGGCTTCAAAAACAAGATATGGCAAACATTTCCCCTGAGTGCTGTAACCTGCAATATAAGGCTAAAAGAGGCTACAAGTGGCTTGATACCTAATGCAGCAATTCTCAAAGTGTGGTCTACAGATCCTTGGAGAATCCCAAGACTATTCAGGGGTATACAAAGTCAAAATCATTTTTATAATAATATTAAAATGTTATTTGGCTTTTTCACTCTCACTCTCTCATGAATGTATAGCAGACATAACACAACAGATTGAATGCAGAAGCAGCTATCAGAATTCAGCCATCTTTTATTAAGTAAAACATTAAAAAGATTTGCAAATATGGAAAACAATGTCTCACTAAATTTTTGTTTGGAAAAATAGTTCTTTTTCATAAAAAAAGTATTATGTTAACATGTACTGGGTTTATTACTATTATATTTAAATGAACTAAATATTTTTTAATTTTCTCAGTTAATTTTTCGTATGACAAATATTGACCGATATAAACCACATAAACAGAGCTCTTTAGGGTCTTCAATAATTTGTGACAGAATAATAAAGGGGTCCTGAGAAGAAAAACGCTAAGAATGGCTGATCCAGTCAAAACAAACTATTCAGTACTTCTGTGTCTCTGATAGTAAGACACCTTTTCCCTACCTAGCAAGTTGCAATTTAAAAAAAAACTGACATAAATTGGCTGGAAAAGCAATACAGAGTGAAAAAAGCCAGAAGTTTTATATGTTTCTCCTCGCTATTACATATTACATTTCCTAATTTGGCACCCATGATGTTTGTGTGTAGGAAAACCTTCTGCTGTAAACTATGAATGGAATTCCCAAAAGTGCCTTGCATTTCAAGACAATAGCCAGAGGTAGTAACAAAAGAGGCTCCTCAAGTAAACTTCAGATTCAAATTGTATATTTCAACACTCCTTTATTAAACCACTTATAAAGAAACCGTAAGAGTCTGTATGAAGATTACCAAGGCCGATACGTCATTAACTCAATTCATCTTCATTACAGAGGACAGTACCTCAAATTTTTGATAAGCTAAATGAATAGTCTAACTTCAAATCAGTTCCACAAACATGTCTTTAATATCATTTAACAAACTTTTATGTGCTATACTAATAGCAAATAATTTATTTTAGCAATAGCTTAAACAAAACAAAATCTTACTTAACTCAAAAAAAAAAAAAAAAAACCAAGTCAATCTTTGTTTGTTTGTTTTCTTTTCTTTTTTTTTTTAAGCCAAGTGGTTACGCCTATACATTATTGGATCAGGTCTCATCACACTCTCCACCCCCCTCCCCTGCAGCATCTGGAGTATCCTTGTACACAATCAAATGACATAAAACAACACCTTCACCATAGCAAAGAGTAATAAAGGCTACTAGTATATTAGCCTTGATTACTATAAAATTCAATCATCATTCATTCAATAAATATTTCTGAGCACCTACTGTCAGCCTGGCACTACGCTACAAACTGGGGGATACAATGAACAAGAATGATAATAGTTTTTATCCTCGTGGGACTTGCATTCTGCTGTGGAAAATAAATAATAAATAAATAATTACAAATGTGGTAAATGCTATTAAGGAAACAAACAAGGCTTTGCCATAGATTACAGCCTTTGAAAGCTGAACTGTGGAATTCTAACAGACCTAAAAATAAATAATTCATGAAGAGTTACATCAAGATGGCATGGATTCTACAGATCTTTGCTAATGCATAAAAAAACTACAGACACCACCCATGAAAACAGAAATCAATCTTTCACTGTCAAAGCTACAGAGTCGTATTACTTAACTATATAATAGCCTCAAAAGATAATTAACTTCACAATTTCACAGTGCAAACAGCATGTAAACACAATCCTAAAACAGCTAAACTTTATGTAGTATGCTGGATGGAATCCTGGAATAGAAAAAAGGACATTAGATAAAAACTAAGGAGATCTAAATAAACTATGGATTTTAGTTAATAATAATGTCAATATTGGTTCATTAATTGTAACAAATGTGCCATACTAATGCAAGATGTTACCAACAGCAGAAACTGGGTGCAGGGCATATGGAATACTCTGTACTATCTTCTCAGTTTTTCTGTAAATCTAAAACTGTTCTTAAAAACAGTCTATTAAAAAAAAAAAAAAAAAAACAAAGAACCTAAGATGTCTTGGGATAAAAAGTTATTAAAGGTTTAAAGAAAGTAAGCAATTAGAAGCCATAAAACTCTGCACTACTAATTGGAACATAAATTCTCCAGAAACTCAAAGGAAACCTGCTGATACATAAGTTAAGATCTCTACTCATGCTAAAATCTTTCTAGGACGAGAGATTAATGGGTTTTTCATGCAAATTAAATAGCTCTGCATCACAACATACGGCAGACAATAACATCCCCAGAGTGCACAATAAGCACTTTAGATCCTATTTATCAATAATGACCTATAGGCTATCTTTTAGGTACGGTCTGTCCTGAAACTGACATAAAACAGCTAGACCAGGATCAACCCCACAGGTTGTATCAAGTTACTCACCTAAAGAAACAAGCTTCAGTTTGCTTCAGGAAAACCCACAAGCAAAGAGGCTATTATTTTTTCCTCGGTAAGGGGGAAAAAGATCATCTATATATGAAAGGAGAAAACTGATTGCTCAGGTCCAACTGGAGGCAATTCTGCAACTAGTATCAACATACTTTAATGCGATTCAAATTAGTATAAATAGTTCAAATATTAATAAAAACCTCTGAATTTACATCAGTACCTGACTTCCAATCAAAACAAGTAACTCACGTTTTCTATAACCTCACCTAAGACATCTAGTAGGTACCCAATGATTTATGATTTGGGAGAAACTAATCTCTCAACGTCTGAATTTTAAAGATGGTCATGAAAAGTGTGAGGAAAACAAAGGAGGGTGATAATCTCTTAACTGTAGAGTATCAAGTTTGCATAATACAGCATAAAACTGGAATTACTACAAAAAATAAGTTTAGAGACAACCATCACTAAATTAGGATCTTGTATCTAATACAAAGTATAGTAACAACAGAAACCTGACCAGGTAAAAGACATTACAATTTCACTCATCAGATAGTATGGAATGTTAAGCATAAAATATCATTTAGCCAAAACGGTATTACATATGTAAATCTAATTTATATAACTAGATGTTAAACCTATTACACCATACTCCTTTCCTCCCTAACTACAAAGGAAATCCTACAAAACAAAGATGTTCCTTATTCTCAAGCCTCTTCTCACAGAACTCCTAAATATATAATTGGAAAATACTCAAAAAGAAATGAAAAATTAACATTTCCCTGTTTGCACCACGATGAGGAGAATCAGCTACCGCTTCATGTTGAAACGAGAAAAAGGGGAGGTAAGATGTAAAAAATTCCAAGTAAAATGATCATGACATAGCGTCTGGCAGAGATCTGAAAACCATCAACACTGCGAAAAGAATTGTCAGTGATCAAAGTCAGAGAAGAAAACGAGGGTTTCCGACAAGCCACAGCCCAACCCAAAGGGCAAAAATCGCACCACCACCGCCACCTCGTTCACCCCCACCATCCCATTTTCAAGTCCCCTCCAATTCAGGTATATTTCTACCATAACCCAGACTAATTCCCCATGAAAGTGATGAACCTCCAAGAATTTTCTACGACCACCATTTCCCACCTTCTATAGGATCCGCACTTCCCAGAGCCAAGCCTCTGGAGAAAACAACGCCCAGATCCCACCCTCCTAGCCCAAGGTTGACGAGGGCCTGTTTCCCGTAGTGGGACTTCCCGGGGTGGGCCTCACAGAGCAGACGAAGTGGGCAAAGAGCATGGAATAAGGGTGCGGCTCAAGAAAGGGGGCTGGGGTTGGGGGGACGACGGCGACCAGAGGAAGAAAGGGATGGACAGGAGGCAGGGGCTGGGCGGGGTGAAGACTGAGGAGGGCAGATCCGGAGAACAGGGAACGGCTCTCGGGAACGGAGACTGCCTGCCGAGTCAGGGAGGGAAGGGCCAGGGGATAAAGAATAAAAAATCGAGCGACGGATCAAGACGAGGAAAGGTCGGCGAACACTGGGAAGGGGTGGGGTGGAAGGGAGCAGGAACGCGAGGCCAGCAGGGAGCCTCTGCGGACGGAAGGGCCGCACTGGGGGCGGTGCGGCGAAGCTGCGGCCAGCTGCCAGGAGTGGGGGAGCGGCGCACTCACCGCTCTGCTCCCCCAGGAACACCAGCTTGAATTTCCTCAGCGGATTCCCGAAGTCTCCGCCCGCGGACATGATGAAGCCGGAGGAGCTGCCGCCGCCTCAGTCCAGAGACCTCCCGGACCGACCCTGTTCCAGCCGGCAGACGAAAACGGCGAGAGGAGGGCAGGAGCCGAGCTCTATCGGCCCCTGCAGGGCCCGACGGAGGAGCAAGCCTGGACCGCAGGACACCTTCACAGACACACAGGCAGCCGTCGCCGCCGCCTCCCGGCAGAGTCGCCTAGCACCTAGAGAGGCCCACGGCTGGGAAGGGAAGGAGGGCGGTGTCGGAAACAGCCACGGGTGTGCTCGAGGTTCCCAAGGTTAGTTAGTGCCCTTGCCTGCCGCAGCACCCGCACGGAGACTGGGGTGAAAAAGGCGAAGGGTGACGGAGCCGGAACCGCAGACGCGTCCGGGACCTCGCAAACGCAGCGCCTCAGCTCCCCAGTTGCCGCCGCCACCGCAGCCCAACCTGCTGAGTGCGCGAGCGTCTAGCGCGGCGCGGGGCGAGCCGGGGCGCGAGCCTGCCGCCCCTCTGGCCGCCTGCGTGCGTGCGTGCGTGCGCGTGCGCGCCACAGCCAGCGCCTTCCTGGTTAGCAAGCTCTCCCGGCTTCCTCCGGAGCAGCCGAGACGAGGGCCGGTTAGATTTCCTCTCGCGTCGGGAAAAGGCAGGAGGAGACGGGGCGGAGCCAGAGGAAAATAAGGGATGGGATATGGAGCACTTACGTCTCTTACATAATAAGCCAATTGGAAGAGGCCAAGGGCAGGCAAGAACGAGAGTGAGCTGGCGACCTCGTGCAGTGGAAAGGATCGCGTCGTGGCGGCCATATGAAGTGTGGCGCGTTGCAGCCTAAGTGGAGAGGAGGCGAGGCGGAGGCGGGGGCAGAACAGAGGTAGGAATGACCCCAGCAATGTGCGGGTGGGGTCGGAGAGCCCTGGGGGTGTGGACGAGGTGCCTCTTTCCTGAGCCATCAGCTCTCCATCACGTTCCTCAAATCTGCCCTTTAGCCCTGCACCCTTCTCCATCTTATTTCTCGTCATAATTCTGCACACAGCATCTTACTAGGTACATTCTCCCTTGTTGCTCCCAGGAGTTTCATAACTGCCAGAAGCGGAACTTCCACAATTTGCAATGAGGAAACCGAAGCCCGGAAGGAGGAAATGAATTTTAAAAACCTACAAAGACAGGTTTGAAACCCAGGTTTCTTATTTTCCCCCATTGAAGCTCTGCAGCCTGCTTATTGATTAGCCCACTCACTTCCCTGGCCTGACCTGGCTTGGTCTTCTGTTACCAACCCTTGCTTCTCAGATGTTGACAACTCTAGGGGTAACGCCTACCTTCCGCCATGCTAGAAAAGGGTTTCGACATCATATAAACCAAACCCCTCATTTCAGAGATGGTGAAACTGACACACAGGACAACAGCTTTGCAGAAAGCCACACAACATTAGAGGCATAGCCTGAACTGGAGCCCAAATCTGGTCAAGGGGATGTTTTAAAAGCGCTCCCTTTCCTCCTAAAGCAGGCCTTCTGAATTGGCTGAGTGGACTTCCTTTAAATTAGCCATCTAAAGCATGTGCATTTTTCTGTGGAGAGAGTCCATAGCTTTTATCAGATTTTCAACCAGGTTGGTGATCCAGAAGGTAAAAGATTAATGCCACAGTCAAGAGGAGCCCAAGGAGACATGACAACTAAAGTTAATGTGGTATCCTGGATGGAATCCTGGAACAGAAAAAGGACACTGGGCAAAAACTAAAGAAATCTGAATAAAGTGTGGATTTTAGTTAATAACAATGTATCATATAGGTTCATTAATGGTAACAAATGTACCATCCTAATGTAATGCTAATAATAGAGGAAACTATGGGGAGGGGCATATGGGAAGGCTGTACTATCTGCTCAATTTTTCTGTAAATCTAGAAGTGTTCTGAAAATAAAGTCTCCTAATAAAATGTTAAGAACCACCAAATTAGAAAATTTGACAACCACACAACTTAAGCCACACCTACACCATGCAGCAAAACAGGTCCAAAAAGTAATTCCTGCCTTTGAAGAGGGCATTTTTAGAAGCTGGCATAAAAAATACTTTCCAAGTTAATAAAAAATGTGTCCTTACATTTGTACGTAGTGTCTTACTATTCACGAAACACATTTATATACATTTTTTCATTGTTCAGGTGTTATTATTTACTTAGCTTATAGAAATGGCAGGGTCAAATAAGCACCTTTTCAAGCCCAGGAATGAATTGCTGATGTAGCATAAATTAAGGAGAGGAACTGAAGTTCTTAAAATACCATCTCTTCTGGCCTATCAAGACAATAACTATATCCACAAATCCCCCTTTCTATCAAAATTTACTCGCTTTTGTTTCCACTTAGCCAAGTGACAGGATTTTGGCACATGAATCTAAAATGAAATGTTAAAAACCTGAGTCATGACTTGGACATTTGATTATTTATTTAACTATTTGATTTTAAAAGTAGTTTGTCAGGTCTGGTAGGGCCCTTCTACCAGTAACCCAGAACCCTGGCATGCTCAAAAAACCGCCAATATGAAGAGATTTTTAAAAAACTCTTGCAAACAAAAGTGAGTGGAAACTTTTTCTTTCTGATGGGTACCAAGTTTTCAATATGTTTCCTGAAATAGCCTTCAAAGTAACATCTGAGAATTGGAACTATAATTACTTTTTACTTCTGCCAGGAGTTTATGAATCAATTTGTCCCTGCTGCTTTGGTCTCTGTAGTCACCTAAACAGGTAATGCTATCCCCTATCATTTTGAAGAAAAATGTGGTATAATCTACCCTTTACCACAGATGTTTTAATGTGATATTTTCCATTGACACATATACAACTTCATTCTCTGAAGCTGCGTTCATATTTATCAAGTACCTTCTGTATGTAAGTCACGTGTTTTGTCTTCAGAGATTTTATGATCTAAAAGTTGCATAATAAGTGCTGTGGAGTTCAGCAAATGGAGAAATTACTTGGAAGAAGAAGGAATTAGAAAGGCCCTTTTCAAGGCCACTTTCACCTCCTTGATTTCCTACACACAGTTACTTCTCTTTCACTTGAACCCTTTCCCTCTCCTTTCATTTCCCCAGTTCTTACTCTTCCTTCAGGTATCATTACAAGAAGCCTTCAAGAACATTTCTAGTCTGCCCCCACCCACATCAACAGTTTAAGTGTTGTTGCCTGTCCTCCCATTGTACCCTGTTCTTCCCCACCACTTAATTGTTATTGCTAATTATCTGTTTTCCGCACCTGACTGTGACCTCCATGAAGTCAGAACTCAAGTCTTGTATCCCTAACACTTGAAGAGTGCTTGCTATATAATAAGTATTATAACATAATTATAGCATTCTTTGCACCTTGAAAGAAACCAGGCTTCTTGAGGAAGGACTGAGATTTCATTCTTATTCCTAGTGGCAGACACTTAGTTGCCTAGCCAATAGTACACATACACAAAACAACACACTTCCACAGAGATGACAGCTACTTTTCCAGCTTCCCTTCTGCCATGGTATAGGCACATGACTCAATCTGAGCCACTAGGAGACAAAGGAAACATGCTAGAGGATTCTGAGATAAATTTGCTTCCCTAATGAAATGAGATACGTGAGGAAAACTGCCATTTCTCTGTCACAGGGTGTGGTTGTGTGAGAACATGACACCTACAGCTAAATAAACCATCTTGTGAACATTACTAGTTAATCTTGAGGAAAAAAGCCAACACATTGATGATGGCTAAGCCTAAAGCTAATAAGCATCATTGAGCTTTTCACTAACCCTGGAACTGGCCTTCCTCTGGATTTCTTTTTGATAAAATGATATCTTTATATTTAATGATGTTTTTAATAATATAAATGTCATTTTATTTGTTTGTCATTGTTAACTTGCAGCTGAAAGCATCTGACATGCTCATCTTTAGATCCCTTACAAAACCTTGCACAGTTCCTTGAACATTAGACAATAGTATGTGTGTATGTGTGTGTAGTAATAGGTACCAAACTTGAACCGCCTTTTTCTGTTTACTACCCCCTAAAAAAGATTTATTACTCTTGGAGAGGCAGAAAATCAATAAAGGAGAAAAACTGTCCAGGTAAAAGGACTGAAATCATAGTGCTCATATTTGAAACAAATAATAGCTCTGGCGGGAATTCAAAGTCCATCAAATACAAAGTCCTTCTAACCTGCTTTGCAGTTTATTATAATCATTGCTGCTAAAAATAATGGTGGGTCAATATACAAAGCATAAACATGACAAATGCTCAAAATTCAAGGTGACCAATTAAATGGGCACAATTAACACAAAGTATATTTAAGGAAGTCTCATTTTAAAAAAGTACGACCAAAAAAAAAAAAAAAAATGGTGGTGGGGTGTCTCATGTCAAAACCTGTTTTCTAAATACCTTGACCTATAAGTATATGGCATGGGAAAAGAATGAAGGTTATTTGGCCAAAATGGAAGAGAAGATGGTAGAACTCCAATAGAATGATATTGTCTGTAATTATAACCAATTCATAAGCTAAATCAGAAGATATTTTTGCTACAGATTGATCTAGAGCATCTATTTTTGATAATTCCATTTTGTTCTGTTCATGTGAATCATGGTCCCTGTTATGAATAATGTGGTTTCTCAGTGTTATAGGTGGGGTGTTAAACTTCCAGGCTTTGAAATTGCATGGGGGAAGAAGTTGCTTCTTTTTTTGCTAGTCCAGAATGTGTAATACTTGACACATTGATGAAACTTTCCTCTCCCCACACTCTATCCCCCACAAATAATAAAGTCTCCTCTAAGAAGTACAGAAGAATGAATCACTCCACCTGCTACTAAGAGATAATCACTCTCAGAGTAGAACAACTCCTTCTACTGCTGTTTATATAAAGAACAGAGCATCTTAGGACAGAAAAGTGAGACCAACAGTTTGCACTGAAGTACCAACAGACTGTACAGCCAAATTGTAATGTGCCAAAGATGCCAAGAGAAACTATCTTTTTGTGAACATTTCTTCAGATTTTTGAATAACACAGTGACTAGGACTTCATTTATGTATAAACTTAAAGATATAAAAATCATTACGGTAGTTATATCTTCAAACTATCCAGTGAGATAGTAAGTCCCAGGATCAAGAGTTTTAGACCATAATATCGTGGGGAAGAAATTGATAAAATCTGCCTCCTTCCTTTTCTGAAATCAACCCAAAACAAGAATAAAAAATAGAAATGTGTGGAAACATAATGGTGATGGTTAAACAGAATGATGAGCGTAATAATGTCACTGAATTGTGTACACAGAACTTGTAAAAAAAAAAAGTTAAGATCGCAAATATTACGTATATATTTACCACAACTAAAAACAAAAAGAAGAAATGCAAACTCTGGCTTTGACATGAGTAATCCAGAGCTATAATAAGTTGGGAGACAAAGATAGAGCGGTGGTAACTTACTAAAAAGAGCTTAGAAAAGTCGTAACCAAAAAAAACTAAAACCAGACCCCTTGCCATCAAGTCAATTCCGATTTATAGCTATCCTATCGGAGAGAGTAGAATGCCCCATAGGGTTTCCAAGGAGTGGCTGGTGGATTCGAACTGCTTACCTTTGGTTAGCAGCCATAGCTCTACTGGAGGGAAAATAACAAGAAGCAAGCCAATAAACCAAGCAGAACCCCAAAACGGCTCATGAATGTGAAGCATCAGGTACAACAGAGGGTGGATGTTATGGGTTTAATTGTGTCCCCACCTATACCAGTGGATGTAATCCTACTTTGGAATAGGGTTTTCTTTGTTATGTTAATGAGGCCATGTCAGTGTAGAGTGTGTCAAACCTACTCACTTTTCAGATATAAAATATGCAGATTGGGCACAGAGAAACAAGCACAGATGGAGGGGAAAATACATGCCACATGGAGATCGCCAAGGAATCAAGGAATACTGGGTCTGCAAAAACTGAAAGAGATCTTTTCCCCAGAGACCACAGAGACAGCCTTCCCCTAGAGCCAGTGCCCTGAATGCAGACTTCAAGCCTCCTAAACTGTGAGAAAATAAAGTTCTGTTCTTTAAAACCACCTACTTGTAGTATTTCTGTTACAACAGCGCTAGGTATTAGGAAAAGGGGCCAAAAACAAGAGAATTGTGTCAAAGTCTATATAAACAAACCTATTTCTCTATACAGAAATTGAGGAATTG